CTCAGCCAGCCTGGGAGAAGCGGGCCGGCGGCTGCTCGGCCTCGGGGACAGCTGGAGCTGGAGCTGGGGTCGGGGCTCCTGGGACACTGCGTCCTTTGTGCCTCCTCCCCGCGCGCCACCCCCCACTGCTGCCGCGACTCTGACGCCCCTTTGTCTCTCGCTGCTTAGTCACCCCCGTCCTGTCTCGGATGGGGTGGGCAGGGGCAGTAGGAGCCGTCCGGCGATAGCGCCTCCAGCCCCTGCCCTTCTGGCCCCAGCCTTTGTCCGGCTCCTGCAGCCCCACCCCCTCCACTCAGGGTCACGGGTGGGCTCCGGGCAGGTGTTCCGGCCCTGAGCAGGAAGGGAGGGAAGGGGATGACGTGGGCACGCAGGAGCCGCGCAGAGCGAGCGGACGGGGCAGGTGGTCCCGGCGGCGCCTCCTTCCTGGGGATGTCCTGGGGAAGGGCGCGGCCGCAGCGAGGGCTGCGCAGACGTTGCCCTACTTCCAGCCCCGTGCCCCGCGCCGGGAGAGCCCTCTCCCGAGACCGGTCTGCTGGGCTCCCCCAGTCCAGAACCGAGGGAGTGCTTTTGCTTCCTCTCCCCGATTCGCCTCTTCCTCCCCAGCCCCGGCGCTGGTTCCCGTGTCCGCTACCGCCCTCATTTCCCTGTGTGCAGTGCTGCCTCCACCCTGGCCCTGTCCCATGGGAACGAGAAAGAGAGGGCTAGATGTTCGAGGACCCACTGGGTGCTCAAGGCAAGGTGGGGCCAGGAGAGGGAGCCAGGTGGGGATTCCTTCAGAGGGGTGCCTAGGAGGGGTCTGTGCCGGGCGGCCCACGGGGCTGGGGCGGTTGAGGGCAGTTGGAGTGCGTAAGAGCAAGGCCCCAAGCCTGGGGAATCTGCTGGGAGCTGGGCCAGGGAATGGCGAGTCAGGAAGTGGGGAGAGGGAGCCTGGGGGGAATGGAGGCGGAATGACTGTTCCAGGCCTTGGAGGGGGTGGTAAGCCGTAACTCAGAAAGGGGGGAGCCTGAGGGAGAGGGGGGGCATTAGAGGAGAGGGGGTGCCACCCTGGGTCCTCCTTCTGTAAAAGGAATAGTGGTAACCCTACTGCCTGGCCCTCTGCCCCTATGTGCCCATTCTAAGGCTCATCCTACCTTTGGGCCACAGATTCCCTGATCGCTCTGTTCCCAAAGGCCCCACCTCCCGGCCTCCTGTACTCCCTCCAGCTGCTTGTCCTGTGCCTACAGCGTCAAGTCACCTCCTTCTTCCTTCGCCTCCCAATGCTTCCTTACCTCTTCCCCACCCTCTTTCCCGGCAGTTTACTCAGGGGCCTCCAGGGGCAGGGGGCAGCCAGGGGAGCCCTGAGAAAAGGAGTGACGCCAGCCTAGACAGTGGGAGTCAGGATCCTTCTGGGACCTTGGCCCTTTCTGTCTACCCGCCAGGCCCTTTCCCTGCCTCCCCAGCCCTCCTGGGGCTCTGTCCACCAAATAGGGAAAGATACAGCTGAGAGCTAGCTGTCGGGTTTGGGAAAAGGCGATGTCATCAGCTGGCCCAGTGCTGTGACCCATCCTCCATCCGGCTGCTAGGGATCCCCCTCCCCTGGGCAAGTCCCTTTTTTTTAAAAAAAAAAAAAAAGGAAAACAAAACCTAGGATTTTGGGGAAGGAATGAGACACCCTTCTGAGTCCTCCCAACAGAGCTGCTAGCTGAATGGCTTACAGCTCAGCCAATCGCAGAGGCTGGGGATGCTTAAAAGAGCTGGCGGGGAGAGAGTCTGGTAGGAACCCTCAGGGAGACCCACAGAGACAGGGACACTGGACAGAGACAGAGGCACAGAGGCAAGCCAGAGTCGGGGGTGGACAGAGAAAGGCCAGAGAAGCTGCGGAGACAGAGGCAGGGAGAGACAAAGACCCAGGAGAGGAGGGTTTGCCCGAGCGGGGGCACTAGGCACCTCTCCCTAGCCAAGAGGCAAGTTTTCTCCATCTGTCTGAAGGTCCCCAGCCCCTCCAAGACTCTGCCTCTGACCCCGGCCCTGGTCTAAGCCCCAGGCTGCAGAGAGGAGCTTTCCACAAAGCCAGGACGTGAAGGACTCAGGCCCCAACGGCCTCGGTCCCTCCCAGCTTCAGTACAGGGCTATGTCCTGGACGGACCCGCACTCCGGGAGGGGCTGGGCGGGCTGCTGGCTGTGGGGAGCCCAACCCTGTCTGCTGCTCCCCACGGTGCCCATCCCCAGGCTGGTGGGGCTGTTCCTGCTGCTGCTGGCCTCCCTCCAGCCCTCAGCCCGGCCGGCCAGCCCCCTCCCCCGGGAGGAGGAGATCGTGTTTCCAGAGAAGCTCAACGACAGCATCCTGCCTGGTTTGGGCACCCCTGCCAGGCTGTGGTACCGCTTGCCTGCCTTTGGGGAGACGCTGCTGTTAGAGCTGGAGCAAGACCCGGGTGTGAGGGTTGAAGGGCTGACGGTGCAATACTTGGGCCAGGCACCTGAGCTGATGGATGAGGCAGAGCCGGGCACCTACCTCACTGGCACCATCAACGGAGATCCAGAATCGGTGGCATCTCTGCACTGGGACGAGGGAGCTCTGTTAGGGGTGCTGCAGTATCGGGGGACCGAACTCCACATCCAGCCCCTGGAGGGAGGCACCCCTAACTCTGCTGGAGGGGCTGCGGCTCATATCCTACGCCGGAAGAGTCCCACAAGCGGCCAGGGCCCCATGTGCAGCGTCAAGGTGCCTCCTGGGAACCCCAGGCCCAGGCCCCGAAGAGCCAAGGTAGGCTGCTCTGGAGTCCCTCCTGCAGTACCTCCACCACGCCTGTCCCACTGACCCGTGTCCCCTCTCTCCACCTATTTCCACTTCTGGTCATTGTGCTGCTTCCCTTGTTCGCCTGCTTTTTGTCTTTCCATGAGCCTTTCTTGGGAAGGTGCTGGCTTCTCCCTACCCTGATGCTTGTCCTGGCCAGACCCTGATCCCAAGTAGGGTTCCCAGAGGTGGGTGGGAGGCTCTGTGCTGGGAATGACCCTCCTCTCCCACCCAGCCCTGCCTGGCCTGCTGCTGCCACCGTCCCAGGTAGAAGGCTCTCCTCACAGTCCCTTGGCCTTGACTCTTTTCTGTGACCCAAATTTGATTTTCACCCCCCTGCCCCCACGAACATATAAGCTAAAGGAGTGAGATTTGAGGCCCAAGAGATTGGCTTCTGTCTTCTGATGCTCCCTTCAAAATTGTCCTGGCAAGCTACAGACTAGGGCAGGAGTGGATGGGAGGAAGGAAAGGGGTCCCCACCTCGTCCTGATCACTCCACACTGGCCTGACTGCAAGGCTGCCTGAGGCTCCATCCTGCCTCCCACTCCCGGTCTCCCCCCTCCCTCCCTACTTCCCTCTCTAGCTTTAATCCAGACCAGACTCTCCCTTCACACACGCCACGCTGAGATCTGGCCCCAACCCTAGCTGCTGACTGAATTGTTCCTCCAACCACACAAGGCAGACACGTTGCAGCCTAGCCCTCCAGCCCAGTCCTACAGGCCCAGCTGCTTTTCACCTCTGGGGACCAGGTGGCCCTGAGATGCAGACACCCCCCCCCCCC